AGTTGATTGTCTTGATGATCTTGTCAGTTTGTTAGTATTTGAACATGTGTAATCCGCAGCTTGCACTGTATGTTTACCAGGAAGCAGAGAATGTTTCTGAGTGTTCTCAGAGGGGGTTATAAAGCGCATAAAGCATGCTGTAGAGCTTGTATGTGCGCTATATAAATGCAGTTATTATTATTATTGTTTTTGAATCTTGAAGTAGTGTCCTAAACCTTCACATTTTGTCCTTTCACCTGATGGACTCATGCACACATGAATGTAATTAACCTTACCATTCTCTGCACTGAATACACACCTCAAGGTATTGTAGGATGAAATGGTAAGCTCTTATTTCTTCATTAAGGAAGTATCTTGGTTACACTCCAGGACACCAGATGGCAGTATGGGCTGTTGGCATCATATCAGGTCAGGGTGTAATGCTCACTGGCTCTGCAGACAAGTCGATCAAGGCGTGGAAGGCTGGAAAGTGCATACAGACTTACAAAGGTATAGTATAGACCCTCCAATGTCAGTGTGCTATTATATTTGTAGTATTGCTCTAAAACTCATTCTAGTGTCTTGATTCAACGTGAAGTTTCATATAATGTGATCTGTCATTTGCCTTTTTTGCTTTTTTCAGAAAGTGAGCATAAAGAATTTAAATGCATTTCAAAATTACTTGTTCTTATTATTTCTCTGAAAAACCCCCAAAACAAAATCTTTTTGAAAGGTTAGGTCAGTCAGATTGAAATGGAGGCATATATTCAAGTGATATCACGCTTTGTTTGTGTCTGTTGTCTTAGTGTATGCAAGGTGCACTGGATGGTAGTGTCCTATTATATTGATAATATTATATAAAATTCATACTACTGTGTTGTTGTTTTTTTCCTAAAAGTACAACCAGAAGACTTTCATTTTGTGTTCTTATAGGGCATGAGGACTGTGTCAGGGGTCTTGGGGTAGTCAGTGAGGCCGAGTTTCTCTCCTGCTCCAACGATGCTACCATAAGGAGATGGGCTGTCACTTCAGGAGACTGCTTAGCTGTATATTACGGCCATACTAACTATGTATATAGGTGAGTTGTTGTCTTTATTCAGCCAATGGTTAGGTGCCTGCTATTTTAGGAAAAAGGCACACATACCGTCAAACGTCCTATAACTTTGCATTTTATTTGAAGATTTAAGTAAATATATCATAGAAAGTATGTTAATGGATGGGCGAAGGTTTGAAGACAATTCTTTGTTTGAGTTTTGACCCGGTTGATGTGTTGCTAAACATGCATGATGTTGTCTTTTAAAGTTAGAACATAAATTTGGGTAGCAACCATTGTCCACTTAATTTATAAACTTTTCCATCAAACCAACTCAAGGTTCAACAAATCCAACCTGGATTGTTTTTACTTTTAACCCATAGTCCTAAAGAGGTTCCATGTGGTTCTGACTTTAAAATGACTGTAATCATGTGTGATTGAATGCTTATTATACTGTTTAAAAAGTAGTGAAATAATTTTCTTGAAAAAACCCCCAAAAACCAAAAGCCAAAAAATTGTTCTTCTGTGGCCATTTCAGTCTATCTATCCTGCCAAATGGTCAAGATTTTGTCACGGGAGCTGAAGACCGAACACTGCGAGTGTGGAAGGATGGGAAGCTGTCACAGACTATCTATCACCCTTCAGAGTCAGTCTGGGCTGTGTGTGCCTTGCCCAATGGAGACATTGCCTCTGGGGCTAGGTGAGTTTGTTTCTCGTGTGAACAGATAACTGATGTCAGAGAAAAGGGACAACTTGGAGATTTAAGAACAATCTTCTATTGTCTAAAGTTTGGAGCACAAAGTTTTATTTAGTGTCTTTGCTTACTTTTTGCCTTTGGAGCCATAGATACTTTGAAAGAGTTAAGTGATACCTTAAGAAGAGAGTTCTGAAATCAGAGTAAGGGGACAAGTTGGAGATTTAAGAAGAATCTTTACTTTGTGTGTAAACATATTTTTTACCATTGGGGCAAAAGAAACTTGAAAAAAAAACAACCTGTCTGATACCCCTAAATAATAAGAGAAATGAGTCAAATTAGTTTTCTCATGTCTGTAAAATGAAGATGGGTTGGGTTTTTTTTAAGTTATCCATTTACTAAACAGAACATCTTTGTTTTTCCCATGTCTTGAGGTCTTTCAAAACTTTTTAACTGTAGATCATAAGACGTTTGCAAATGGAGTGTTGCCAGTTTATGAAATGAAATAGACATCCTTGTTTTGGTTTTTTTTAATATCTATTTTTTTTGTTTTTACTCATGGGACTATGCCAGTCTTCACTTGGCTTTTTAATGAATATATGTATACTAGGCAGTTCAAGCATCTCATGAAACAATTTAAAATATGAATGTTTTTGTTGCTCCCCCCTTCCAGTGATGGAATCATTCGAGTCTTCACTCAGGATCCTAAGAAATATGCAAGTGATGAAGTCATAGCTGCTCATGAGGCTTCTCTTGCTTCGGCGCCTGTGGCCTCCCAGCCTCTAGGGGACATCAAGGTGGAGGACTTGCCAGGGCCAGAGAGTTTGGACCAGCCAGGTGAGGAAGGGGTTGAGTGAAGGGAGAGGTAAAGTTAGGTACCTTATCATCAGCAAGTTGTTAAACTGTATTGAGCCCAGAAAGCAATAATTTACAGGAGAGAGAGAGAGAGAGATCTGGATCGATAACAACAACAACAACACTGGATCGATAACAACTGGAGAGAGAGAAAAACTTGTTTAATTCTTTTAACATTTGTACCTGCATTATGTCTTTTGTTTTGCCTTTTTACAGTGTCTAGAATTTAAATTTGGATAAAATATTTCTTGAGCACATGCAACCGGTATTACGTATTAAAAAACTGCAATGAAAAAAAGAATTGGGGGATTTAGTAAATTTAACAGCTGTCTGACGTTATGATATTTGTTGTACAGAGAAGACAGAAAGGCGGTAAATTATGGTCTGGATCTCCTTTGTGGAAGTTGGAGGTTGGAATCTGAACTGGACATAAATTTTGGAGAATTCTCAGCCTGGTGTCCTGAGAGGGGATGAAGTGCTCTGTCTCTGAAATGATCTACATAGTGTCTAAAATTAAAAAAAAAAAATTTAATGTTTGTGTTATTATGCCTCAATCAATATAATTTAGATCATTAAGAGGCGGGCTTCCTACCCTGCCTTTCAGGGCCAACTTGGGCTGAAAAGGATACAATATCTCAGCAGAAAGACTTGATAAAAATGTCTTCCTCGCTGGGGAATTGAACTGGGGTTTCCTGCTTTTTACCCATTTTGACCTACCTTGTTTTCTGATATGGTCAAAGTTTATGAATTATCTGCTCTTATTTTTGTCATCTTTTCAATCCTTTACACCTGCCAGGCAAGAAAGACGGCCAGACAACGATGATCAACACAGGTGGGACAGTGGACGTCTACCAGTGGGATGCGTCCCAGACAAAATGGGTCAAGATTGGCAACGTGGTGGGCTCAAGTGGCAGCACGCAGAGCACCTCAGGGAAGACTCTCTACGAGGGAAAGGTCTGCTTGCCTCTTGATTGTCTCTGTGTATTTTCGTTGTTGTTGTCCCTTGCTTTTCTCTCATTTGCTCTTATTCAGTTTGTAGGTGGTTGGAGGACGCCTTTGGTTGGTCCTCCTACTTCTTTTCTTTCCCTCTTTTGTTTCTGTCTGTTTGTCTTACTTTTTTCCTGAGCGTAATAATTGTTATTGTGTGTCAATGTGATTCTCTTTTCTCAAACTATTACTTAAATTATTCTGTAGACTTAATTAGTCAGAATAGATTAGTTGTGTGGCTGTTAAGCGCAATAATATTAGTCTTCATACAGCTCAGGCTTGCTTTTGGGGGATTCCATGAGTAGATCTCACTTCTGTATAATCCCTCTGCCGTCAGTTATCTTATCTTTCTTTTATGAGCACTGTCTTTAATGTTTTTTAAAATCACAAAACTTATCTCAAACAGTTCTGTAGATTTGTATTAGTCACAATTAGACGTGTGACTGTTAATTCAATTTCAAAGTATTCATTTAACTCAGGTTTTGGGCAATTCTACAAATAGATACTACTTCTGTAACTTCTGTATTATCCCTCTGATCTTTGTCTTTCTTTCTTTTACCAGTAATGTCATGAATGGTTCAGGTCATGAAACTTGCATTTCACGTTTGGAGAAAGGAAATCTTTTCAATTACTCAATATGACCTTATTTTGTTGCACGTGCCGTAAAACACTTACTGAAACTAAATTTCTAAATACTTAATACATCTCCTCTCTGACCCATTCATGCCCCTAATTTGTTAAAATGTAGTTGTTACTTACAGAGATAGCATACAATGTTTACTGCTTTCCTTCTGAATAATGATGATGTTCAGGTTTTTCTTTCTCCTGAAAAAGAATGTTAGTGTGGCTTACTGGTTTCTTGAAATGAGTAAACGTGTGCATGTTCTTCTTTTCTGTTCTCTCTCTCTGACACGGGCTCGAACTTCTCTCGGCAGGAGTACGACTATGTCTTCTCGGTGGACATCAAGGAGGGCGCTCCGCCCCTCAAGCTGCCGTACAACATTGCTGAGGACCCCTGGATGGCAGCGCAGAAGTTCCTGCATAAGCACGAGCTCTCCCAGCTCTTCCTGGACCAAGTGGCCAACTTCATCCTGGAGAACACAAAGGGCGTTACTCTGGGCACGGGCTCAGCCTCTGGCTACTCTGATCCTTTCACAGGTTGGTCCAAAGCTGTGTGTATACTCCTCCTCCTCCTACTTCTTCTTTTTTCTCTTCTTCTTCCTCCTCCACTTTCTCTTGCTCCTCCTCTTTCACTTCCTCCTCTTCCTCATCCTCTTTTTCCTCCTCTCCTTCCTCCTCCTACTCTGCGTCTTCCTCTTCCTCCTCCCCCTCCTCCTTTCCTCCTCCTTTCCTCCTCCTTTCCTCCTCCTTTCCTCCTCCTCCTTTCCTCCTCCTCCTCCTTCTCCTCCTCCTCCTCCTCCTTCTCCTC